GGAGGGCCGGAAGCGACCCAGTCTTTTGATGCGAGGACCCCACAGGTCTGGACACCTTCCTGATGTTTCGTCCTGAGTGGTTCTCGACGGTCCCAAGGCCTCTTGAGGGCCCCGGAGGCCGAAAGCGGTCCAACACTGGCTGCCCCAATGTTTTCGAAGCCTCGGCTCTTTGGAGGCGACGCCCCTTTGTTTCGCGGCGCAGCTTCCTTCCACCTCCGGGGAGGGGGGAGGGCGCCTGCAGGGCCTCCCTGGGGGCCGCAAGAACACACAAGAGCACGGCTCGCGGCGAAGCAACGGTCACAGTGGGACGGGGTCGAGGGACCCCAGGGGCCCACGTTGGGGGACAATTACCTCAGCAAAGCACCCTGGTAGCAGCAAAAGTGAAGAGGCGGGTCGAAGAATAGGAGGCCGGCTACCAAAAACGTATCCGGAGGGTCAGAACACGGCCATTTGTATTTTCTACAGAAGGATCGTGGCCGTCGTTTTCTCGTTCAGCGCAACGATTTTGGAGAGGGGAAGGGAGGGCAAAGGGGAGGGCGCGAACCATCGATGAACAACAAACCACTCGTCTCACTTGGTACACTCTGCGACTACCAGCTTGAAGCGCACAAGCCGAAATGACATGTGCGGAACAAAGGCTGACTGTAATAGCAAATTCCCGCGTCCGTTGCGCGGATGCTTCTCTGGAATCGCGGCTGACATGTAAACCCGCGCGTGCGTACCCCATACCGGTCCAAACCAGCGGGACTCGCACTGGTGCCCAGCGAAAGTGGAGAGGAGGGCGAACGAGGAAGGCGGGGGAAACGAGGAGGGGGAGGCCAGCGGCAAGGAAATGCACAGGGAATAATGGCAGATAAGAAAAATCAAATGGACGTAGCCGTAGGTCGGGCATGTCCCCCTACAGGCGGATTTTGGATGAAGTATGAAACAATATTGCAGACGTGCTCAACAATTCTCAACGATAATTGAAAAATCGTCCCCAGACCATGTTCCCTACCTAGGCTCTGCCTAGAAAGGTTCTTACTCTCTTAGCTTAAAGGGGCCGGGCAGTGCAAAGCGCCCCGGGCGGTTCCCCCAGTCCCCTGGGAGCGGTTCCCCCCAGTCCCCTGGGAGCTTTAGCTTTAGCTTTAGCTTTAGCTTTAGCTTAGCTTTAGCTTAGCTGTAGCTTAGTTTTAGCTTAGCGTTTCGCTTAGCGTTTCGCTTAGCTTTTCGCTTAGCGTTTAGCTTAGCTTTAGCTTAGCTTTAGCTTAGCTGTAGCTTAGCTTTAGATTAGCTGTAGCTTAGCTTTAGCTCAGCTTTAGCTTAGATTTAGCTTAGCTGTAGCTTAGATTTAGCTTAGAGCTTAGCTGTAGCTTAGCTTTAGCTTAGCTGTTGCTCAGCTTTAGCTTAGCTTTAGCTTAGGTTTAGCTTAGCTTTAGCTTAACTTTAGCTTAGCTGTGGCTTAGCTTTAGCTTAGCTTTAGCTTAGCTTTAGCTTAGCTTTAGCTTAGCGTTACTGTTACTACTAATGCTGCTTTCCTAGGGGTTCCAACTCCTAGGTAGGGTCGCACTGGGATAATTTTGACTATTTTTGAATACCTCTTTTGTAGGAGGGACGTGCCCGACTGAAACGCAACCCGTCCGAAGCCCAAAAAAGCGGTTCCGCGGAGGCTCTTGTAGGCGCCTCGGCGGCCGGGCGGAGCAGAGGAGGCCCGGTCGAAGGGCTGCAGCTGGAAACCATGCTTCCCATGCACGAGTTCGGCCCGAGCACTCCAACATACCTTTCGGAAGGGAAAGGCAGGAGGGAGGAGGACCAGGAGGACGAGGAAGGAGGACGAGGCAGGCTCGCGTCGTGTCGACTTCGGCGTTGGTTTCTGACACCGCGGGAATCGTTCAACCTCGATTTGATCGACCATTCCAGAAACGTCCAAATCGTTCGACATCGAACGATTATGGGTCGCCCGCGGCTTTCCACGTTGAATGCCGCTGGCGGGTTGTGTTGGTGTTGGTGCCCATTTTCGCCCGTGTGTCGCCCACCTAATGGGTCGGTGTGGGTGGTTATAGTTCGCTCACCTAGAAGCCAGAATCTTACAACCATCACCGGGATCGGGATCTTCTTCCCTCGGTGGAGACACGCCACCGATGGTGTTGGTGTCAACCTCTAGGCCTGCGAGTTCTGGCCCAGAGCGCACATCGTGCTCAAGGCCACCAGCACGTAACTTTCCAGACCTGAAGGTAGTACCCCCAGAGAGGGCTTGCACTTGCAATTCGCACACTGTACTGCGGCGGCTAAAGAGAAAAAACACAACATAGCTTCTCAGATGGTGGAAACGCGCGAGGATGGGGATGAGACAGCCGCATCTCCCGCTGTCACTGTGATCTCCATCTCCTCGTCGTCGCACCCCTCCCCTCATGCACGTCCTCCTCCTCCTCCTCCTCCTCCTCCTCCTCCTCCTCCTCCTCCACCTCCTCCCCGCTGCGCTGCCGCTTGCTCGGCTGGCTCAGCTCTGGCTCTGGGCGGCCTGCCCAAGGGCCTGACACGGCCTCTTCGGGCGGCGCTGCGGGAGTCCTGCACGCGCACTTCCTGGAAGTCTGTCATGCAGTCCTCACCTCGGGCGGGGGAGGGAGGGGGACTGGAGGAGGCCTCCAAGAACCCTCACAGGGGCCGCCAAGAACCTTCACATGGGCCGCCAAGAACCTTCTTGGCCGAGAACCCTTTGAGAAGCTCCATCACTGAGAAAACACTTCGAACTTCCGCCGGGGAGCGAGTCGTTCAACCGGGGAACGAGTCGTTCAACGGGGGAACGAGTTTTTCTAGGAGGCCTGGGACTCTGGGACTGCCAGACCTCAGGCAACGCACCAGAGAGCGCGGCGGCCGGCTTCCAACAATATGCCTTGCGAGCGGTGCTCTTCAGATTCCGGCAGGAAGTGTAGTTGCATGGGAGGGGGCTGGGCTAGGCACCGCCCCTCTGCACCGGCGCTGGGCGGGAGGAGGGGAGGAGAAGGGAAGGAGGGAGGAGGAGGAGGAGGAGGAGGAGGAGGAGGAGGAGGAGGAGGAGGAGGAGGAGGAGGGGATGAAGGAGGAGGGGAGGAAGGGAGGTAGGTGAATGAGGAGAGAGGAGGAGGGAGCGGAGGGCTGGCTTGGGATGAGGAGGAGGAGGAAGAGGAGGAGGAGGAGGATCGGATTGGGGCCCAGGAGCAGGAGCCCCGACCCCCGCCTCTGCCTGAGCCCCGGAGCCCGTCCTGGGGGGCGGCCCCCGTGGGCCAAGGAGCGGCCGGGGGCCGGCATCGGCGAGGTGAGCACCCGGCTCGGGTTAGGTCGGGCATGTCCTCCAAACCGTCCCCAGACTATTCTTGTACTATTTTCGAAGATTCCTCCTGTAGAGCGACAGGCCCGACTCAAGGCTAGGGCCCTTCTCTTCACCCCCCCATGTAAATCACCCCACACCCTCAGATCCCACGTTGCGAAGACATTGCCTCATCGTGGGAAACCGCGACGAGAGCCCCGGGGACCCCATCGTTCTGCGCCATTTGTCAAGCAAGCATCGATCCGTGAGGGCCCCAGGGCCCGAAATTGAGCGAAAACGCCCGTGAGGATCCCAGGGCAAGCCCCAGTACCACCCGCCCGAGACCTGAGGTGCAAACAGCGGCCCCCACCCCCCCCTCCTCCTCCTCCTCCTCCTGCTCCTCCACCTCCTCCTGCTCCTCCTCCTCCTCCTGCTCCTCCTCCTCCTCCTGCTCCTCCTCCTCCTCCTCCTCCTCCTCCTCCTCACCTCTTCGTCTTCCTCCTCCGCCTCCGCCTCCTCCTCCTCCTCCTCCCTCTTCGTCTTCCTCCTCCGCCTCCGCCTCCTCGCTCCTCCTCCTCCTCCTCTCCTCTCCTCCCCTCCTCCTCCTCCTCCTCATCCTCATCCTCCCTACTCCTCCTCCCCGCCTCCTCCTCCTCCTCGCTCCTCGTCCTCCTCCTCCTCCTCCTCCTCCTCCTCCTCCTACCTCGCTCCTCGCTCCTTCGCTCCTCGCTCCTCGCTCCTCCTCCCCTCCTCCTCCCCTCCTCCCTCCTCCTCCTCCTCCTCCTCCTCCTCCTCCTCCTCTCTCCTCCTCCTCCTACCTCCTCCCTCCTCCTCCTCCTCCTCACCTCTCTCTTCCTCCTCCGCCTCCGCGCTCCTCCTCCTCCTCACCTCTTCGTCACCTCTCCGCTTCCGCCTCCGTCCTCCCTCCTCCTCCTCCTCCTCCTCCTCCTCCTCCTCCTCCTCATCCTCCGCCTCCTCCTCCTCCGCCCTCCTCTCCTCCTCCTCGCTCCTCTTCCCCTTCCTCCTCCTCCTCCTCCTCCTCCTCCTCCTCGCTCCTCGCTCCTCGTCCTCGCTCACTCCTCCTCCTCCTCTCCTCCTCCTCCTCCTCCTCCTCCTCCTCCTCCTCCTCCTCCTCCTCCTCCTCCTCCTCCTCCTCCTCGCTCCTCCTCGCTCCTCCTCCGCTCCGGCGGGGGGGGGCACGCCCCCCGAGGGCCCGGGAGCGGCCGGGCCGGGAGCGGCGCGGTGAGCACCCGGTGCCCCCCGCTGCGGGCCCCCAGGCCTGAGGTCGGGCACGTCCCCTCCCCCTAGGGGCGGATTTTGGACGAAGCATTAAGAATAGTCAACAAAAGCATACGCGGGAGAAATCAAAAACAGAAGAAACATCGTCCCAAGACTGTTTGCTGAAAATGTTTGAATATTCCTGTAGTGGGATACGCCCGACTTAACCCAGGCGGCGTGGTGACCACGCCGCGTGGTGAGTCAGCGGAGGGTAGAGTCGTCGTCCGCTCGTCGTTCTTGTTGTTGTCGTGGTCGTCGTTATCGCTGTCGTATCGTTGTTATCGTTGTCGTCGTTGTCGTTATCGTTATCATCAGCTCGTCGTTATTGTGGTCGTCGGGGGGCATCAGCTCGTCGTTATCGTTGTCGTCGTGGTCGTCGTCGTGATGGTCGTCATCGTCCTTCTCGGTCGGCGGCTCCGGCCGTAGGGACTTCACAATCAGAAGCGGAGGACCTGGAACCCGAGGGGGAACCCGAGCCCGCAGTTCGAGCTCTCGGCCCCCCAAGGCCCCTGAGAAGCCTTCGCGAAGCTTCCAGAGGCCCCCCACAGGCCCCCGTGGAGCACCCCAAAGGGCACCAGGAAGCCCCGACGAGGCGCCCCAGAGGTCCTCAGGACCAGCGCTCCACAACCGCCAGCTCCCCAAGGGGTCGGCGGTGTGGCGCAAGCCCAAGGATATAGGAGAAGAAGGGCGCCACCAGGGGGGCCCGGCGCAGATCCAAGAAATCCGCGCGGAGCGTCGAAAATTTTTGCTCGTGCCCTTTTTCCTGTCTTCGAGAATCCCAAGCGGAGGACCACGGGTACACCTTTCGGGCCGGGCGAAAGGGGGGATAGTCCCCCCCTTTCGTCTGGCCCGAAGGGCGCCCAGGCGGCCAACGTTAGGTCGAGCATGTGGGAAGTCCTTGGACGGTCATGGCCGTGTGTGGAGCCTCGACGGGGACTCTGCGAACCCCCGCGATCGAGGAAGGAAGTTCTTGGGACGCCCTTGGATACTTATGGAGCCCGATGTGTCTCGATGGGGGCTCTGCGAACATCCGCGACCGAGGAAAAAATTGGGATCATCCTTGAATGTTCACGGAACCTGTCGGGCCTCGATGGAGGCTTCGCGAACCTCCGCGATCGAGAACGCAAGCTTTGAGGACGTCCTTGGACGCTCTGCGAACCTGCGCGATCGAGGAGGGAAGTTGGGGGGGCGTCTTTGGATTCTTATGCGGCCCGTTGAGCCTCGATGGGGGTCTCTGCGAACCTCCGCGATCGAGGAGGGAAGTTTGGGGAGCGCCCTTGGACGCCCTCAAAACTCCGTTGCGCCTCGACGAGGGCTCTGCGAACTTCCGCCATCGAGGAGGGAAGTTCTGGGGACGTCCTTGGACACTTGGGGCCTCCATTGAGCCTCGACGGAGGCTCTGTGAACCTCCGCGATCGAGGAAGGAAGTTTGCGGGTCGTCCTTAGATGCAAAATGGAACCTGTTGGGCCAGGATAGGGGGCTCTGCGACACCCCGCGGTCGAGGAGGGAGCACTTTGGGGGGGCGCCCGTGAGCGCTCATGGGCTCTGCGAACCTCTGCGATCGAGGGAAAGTTGGAGGACGCCCTTGGATCCCTATAGAGCCCGTTGAGCCTCTATGGAGGCTCTGCGAACCTCTGCGATGGAGGAGGGAAACTGGAGGGCCGTCCTTGGATGCAAAATGGAATCTGCTGGGCCATGATGGTGGCTCTGCGAACCTCCTGGATCGAGGAAGGAAAATTGGGGGGACGTCCTTGGGCGCGCATGCCCCCTGTTGAGCCTCGATGGGGGCTCTGCGAACCTCCGCGATCGGGGAGGAAAGTTTTTGGGGCACACGTGGACGCCTGTAGCCTCTGTTGCGCCTCGATGAGGGCTCTGCGAACTTCCGCCATCGAGGAGGGAAGTCTGGAGGGGGCGTCCTTGGGCGCTAATGACTTCTGTTGAGCCTCGATGGGGAGCTCTGCGAACCTCCGCGATCGAGGAGAGTTTTGTGGGCGTCCTTGGACGCTCATGGAAGCTAAGCCGCTGGGCCTCAACGGGGGGGCGAGGGGAAGTGGGGGGAAGCTCTGCGAACCTCTGCGATCGAGGAGGAACGCTTGAGGGACGTCCTTGGATGCCTATGGGGCTCGTTGAGCCTCGATGGGGGCCCTGCGAAACGCCGCGATCGAGGGGGGGAGCTTGGGAGGCGTCTTGGATGCCCATAGGGCCCGTTGAGCCTCGATCGGGGGGGGGGCTCTGCGAACCTCGAGCGATCGAGGAAGGGAGTTTGGGGGCGTCCCTGGATGCTCATGGAACTCGCTGGACCTCTGCGAACCCCCGCGATCGAGGAGGGAAGTTATGGGGGCGTCCTTGGGACCTGATGGAACCCGTTGGGCCTCAATGGAGGCTCTGCGAACCTCCGCGGATCGAGGAGGGACGCCTGGGGGGACGTCCTCGGATGCTTCTGAAACCCGGTAAGCCTCGATGGGGGCGAACCTCAGCAAGGAGGAGGGAACATCGGGGGGCGTCCTCGGATGCTCATGGAAGCCGGTGGGCCTCGATGGGGGCGCGGCAAAACTCCACGATTGAGGAGGGATGTTTGGGGGGGCGTCCTCGGACGCCCGTGGCCTCGGTTTCGCCATCGACCGGGGCTCTGCGAACCTCCGCGGTTCGAGGAGGGAAGTTTGGAGGACGTCCTTGGACGCCCATAGCTTCTGCCGAGCCTCGATCAGAGTGAATCACCGCGATCGTGGAGGAAAATGCGGGGGCCGTCCTTGGACGCCCACGGCCTCGGCTGCGACTCGATGGAGGGGGCCTCTGCGAGACTCCGCGATCGAGGATGGAAGTTTGGAGGGCGCCCTTGAACGCTTACAGCATCTGCTGAGCCTCGATGGGGCTCTGCGAACCTCCGCGATCGAGGAGGGAAGTTTGGGGACGTCCTTGTATGCTTATGGGCTTTGTTGAGCTTCGATGGGTGCTTTGCGAACCTCCACGGGGACCTCTGGGGGCCAGGATCTGGAGAGGCGGCAACACCTGCTGACTCCCTCGGCTTTGCGAACCACGCTCCCCCTCGTCTTCCCCATCGCCCGCCTTTCTCGACTCTATTCCCCCCGCACTTCTCCCCCAAAACGTTCGGCCACCTATCGGGACCCATCCTGCTCCCCTCTGCCACATCCCTGCTCCCGTGCCTTTTTCTCATTCTCCTATTCCTCGTATTCCTCCTCTTCTTTTACCTGCTCCAGGCGTCTGAGAACGTCTGGGAAAACACGACAATCTCCGAAACCACCCAGCAGCATTGTGGGACACCCACTGACCTGGGTCAATGCAAACCCGGGCCAGCAGTCAAGCCTTGCAGGATCCTGTAGGATCCTGCCGCCAGCCCGGGTCAGTGCGCCCCTGGCTCTGCAGGATCCTGCCAGATCTGGCGCTCTGGCTGACCCCCGTTTGCACGGACCTCCGTCCTTTGAGCCCCGGCCTTGGGAGCACATCTCCTCCCCGCGAAAGTATGCAGTGCTTGCGCCCCAGAGGCCATACACCCTCGTAGGTTACGCAATGTCTGCGTCCCAGAGGCCACAGCCCCTCGTACATTTCGCTATCTTCGCGCCCCCGAAGCCATAAACCATCGTGAGATATCCCCCCTTCCCTTCCCTTCCCTTCCCTTCCCTTCCCTCCCTTCTCCTGCATGGCCACACGTCGCTCGTTTCTAATCGTGCTCCTTTCTAATTCTGCTCGTTTCTAATTGTTCCTGGCCCCCTAGTGGCCAGGAAGAGGCCCAGGATGGAACAATTAGAAATGAAAGGATGTTGGCCCCCCCAACAAGGGCTCCCAACTTCGCGCTTCGCGCTGCGTGAAGCGCGAAGTGCGAATAACTTCGCGCTCTCGCGCCGCCTCCCAGGGGAGAAGAGGAGGATGAGGAGGACTCGGAGCCGAAGCGCGAAGCGCGAATAACTTCGCGCCCTCGAGGGCGCCCTTGCAAAAAATCACAGAAATTTCAAATACTCAGAAATGAACCGTGTGCACACCCCCCCTCCTTGGGCCTGAGACCGCCCGGCGCGCCCGCCAGGGCCCGGGGGGCCGCGGCCGCCTCCTCCGAGCCCCAGAGGGGGAGGGGGCAACGCGAGCGGCGGGTGCTCGCCTCGTCTCCTCGCCCTCCCGCGCCTCCTCGGCTTCTCGGGCCGGGCGAGGGGATAGCAAAGGGGGGGTCTGAGAGTCAGCTCTCGGAGCTGATTTTCCCGGCGCCTCCCAGCGCTGGGAGGCGGCCATGTGTCGAGGAATGGGCCCCTCGGTGGGGCCGAAACCAGCTGCATGCAGCAGATTTCGCACCCCCCCCCTTTCCCAACCCCTCCCCTCTCGTCCGGCCCGAGCTTCGTCCTCTTCGTCCTCCGCCCCGCCCCACTCCCCAGCTCTCCGACGAGACCAGGACGAGGATGGAGCCGGGCGAGGGCCAATCGAGAGCCTCCCATATCCCGCGGCTCTGGAGGACGCACCGGGCGCCGCGGCCTCTCTCGGGGCGTTCCAGGAGGCCCCTGAGAGCGTCCTGGAACGCTCTGGAATCGACGTATCCTCGTTCCAGCCCCGTCCGAAGCTCTGCTCTCCCTCTTCATCCCCGGCGGAGGAGGAGGAGGAGGAGGAGGAGGAGGAGGAGGAGGCAAGGCAAAGCAAGCTAAGGCAAGGCAAGGACTGCATCGGACCGAACGTCTGAGTTACACTCGACTATGCTACACATTGCACGATACAATTTGTACGACCTGCAGTGCGCCTACACATTACACGATACAGTGTGTACGACCTGCAGTGCGCGCACACAATGAAGTTCACCGAGCGGCCCCCCGTACGGGAGCCCCGACTTGCCTTCGCCCGACCTTTGCGACGACCCTGGAGAAACTGGAAACGCTCCTGGAGGCTTAGCTTTGAAACTGCTCCGAATCAACTGAGTTTTACTTCCTACTGCTACGCAATCGTGAACTGCTACTGTGGCTGTTTTGATTCACTCTGCCACTACTGCCTTGCTGCTGCTGCTCAAACAGAGTTTTCCCTCTCCTCATCCTTGATCACTCCACCAGCAGTCTGGGTCGCCGAAGGAGCGGAAGACGTCGTAGAGACAATAATCGTGGTGGAGCCGCCGTTCTTCTGGGACGCCGTCGGAGCAGTAAACGCCGTAACAAGACAAGACACCTTCCACCACTGTGCTGGGTCGCCGTGGGAGCAGGCGACGCCGTAGAGACATGATCATTCCCCTTGCCACTCTGACGTGCCATCGGAGTTGGAGCCGCCAAGGGACAATCCCACAACGCCGGGCCCCCCCCCTCACAGCGGCCAGATCACCGTCACCGGCGGATCCCAGAAATGGGTTTTCGCCGCTCCTCTCACCGAGAGGGGGGCCCTCAGACGCCATCGGAGCTGAGGTCGCCATAGGGACAATCCCATCGGAGCCAATGCCGCCGTAGAGACACCCCTGCTCCCATCACCTCATGGATTGGAAAGAGGAGGAGGAAGAGGAGGAGGAGGAGGAGGAGGAGGAGGGGGAGGAGGAGGAGGAGGAGGAGGAGGAGGAAGAAGAAGAAGACGAGGAAGAGGAAGAGCAGGAAGAGGAAGAAGAGGAAGAAGAGAAAGATCAGAAGGACGAGGACGAGGAGGAGGAGGAAAACGAGAACGAGGAAGAGCAGGAGGACGAGGAGGAGGAGGCGGATGGAGGAGGAGGAGAAGGAGGAGCAGACCGCGAGCCACGAAGCGCGAACACCTTTGCGCCCCCGCGGCGGCCCTCGTGTCTTCCCCCCCCTCTCCCTGCACGTCCCCGTGCTCAACCCCGCCTTCCCCCCGCCCTCGACCCTGCCTCCGCCTAGCAGGGGGGAAACGGGTCCCACAATCGCGCAATGAAAAGCGTTCCACGAGGAGGAGGAGGAGGAGGAGGAAGAAGAAGAGGAGTCAGCGTCATCTGCGCCATGCTCGCTCCGCCGTTGCACGTGCGCCTCGCCAACGCTCGGACGTCCATTCCAAGCTCATGTTTCGCTTTCGTGCGTACTCATGTTGTCAGAAGGCCCAGGATGCTCCCCGATACTCCGCGCCGGGGAAAACATTTCACACTGTCCGAGCGATGCCAAGGAGCCGATCTTGCCAGGCATAGCCCGGCTCCCCCCCCCTTGGCTTTAAGTCGGGCCTGTCCCTCTACAGGGGGGAGATTCAAAAATACGCAAAAAAAACCTGGGGACTATTTTGGGGCGTATTTTGGGGCATCCTGTGGGAATTTGTTTGAATGTTTTTATTACCTGACAGCGAAGAATGATAGGTTTCTAGTAGGGTCAAAAGAGAGCATTATGACGCACCAAGGGGGTCTGGGCACGATCCGGGGGAGGATGCCGGGGGGATGCCGGGGAACTCGTTTTAAGCAAATAGTAAAGCACTTCGTGGTCTTCGAGTTCCCAGAACTCCATTCCTGGGCATGATTTTGAATGCCCAGAGCCAACTCTAGGCCACTTCGTGTCTTTCGTGTTCCCAGAACACCATTCCCGGGCCACATTTTGAATGCCTGGAGCCAACTGTAGGCCACTTCGTGTTCTTCGTGTTCCCAGAACACCATTCCCGGGCCACATTTTGAATGCCCGGAGCCAACTGTAGGCCACTTCGTGTTTTTCGTGTTCCCAGAACACCATTCTCGGGCCACATTTTGAATGCCCAGAGCCAAATGTAGGCCACTTCGTATTCTTCGTGTTCCCAGAACACAATTCCTGTACCACATTTTGCTTGCCCGATGCCCCCGTTCGAAAGCAATGACTCGTTCAAAGCAAAATCCTTTGATAGCGGTGTCTCGTTCGGAGATAAGAAAGCTACTTGATAGCAGTGTCTCGTTTGTACTATTACTGCTACTAGTCCTTCTACTGCTACTGCTAGTGGCATTACTGCAACTACTGGCATTGCCACTGCGACTGCGACTGCGACTGGGACTGCCGTTGCCACTGCGACTGCCATTGCGAATGCGATTGCGACTCCGAGTACACCAGAATTCTACAACAGGAATCCTACATGAATCTAAAGGGGAATGCTTCCAGATATGCTCATACACATCGCTGTTAGGTTGCTTTGCCGGTATAATTTTTCGTCCAAAGTCCCCCTGCAGGGGGACAGGCCCGACCCAACCTTGGCTGCTCCACGCGGCCCTGGCGGGAACGACGCCGACGAGCCCCGAGGGAGACGAGTCCTGACCCCTTGGGGCCCATCCCCTTGAGCAGGGGCCCACCGTCCAGGCATTCCTGTAGGCTAGAACCCCAACGTGTCCTACGAAGAAAAGCGAATAAGGGGATCAAAAAACGAGTCAAGGATTCTGGGTCCTAGACTCAGGGTCAGGGCCCAGAATCCTGTAGCTGAGCTAGCTAGAGTCTTGACCCTGTCTTGACCATGAGTCTAGGTTAGAACATGAATAAGGGGATCAAAGAACGGCCCTACCCTGGGTTACAAGTGCGTGGTCTGTAAACCTCCTGGGGAGTCCCAGGGCCTAGAAAGCCGCCCGGACGCCGCAGGGCTTATCCTGTCAGCCCACCGGAGGTTCAGCGCACAACGCCTCGTAAACCAGGGTGGGGACGTTTTGTGCGCCCTTGAATGAAGCGGACGTGTTAAAACAAGACAGTCCGAGCCAGACATGTTCTAAGAACATGTCGTGCACGCCACAAAACGTCTTTAGGACATTATCTGGCGGGCCTATAGGCAAGCCAGGACGCCTCGTCACTGCTTGGCTCTTCATCCCCAGCCGTTTTCTGCCAGCCCCGGGGCTCTTGGACGGCCCATGGAGGCCCAAAACGGCGGAACACCTCAGGATCCGTTTCCCTCAGGACCCACATCCCGCATGGCGATGCCGTCGCCCCCCACCCCCTCGCTGGCGGCGGCGGGCTGGCGGGCTGGCGGGAGCGGCGCTCGCCCGGGGGCAGGGGCTGGAACGCCCGCGAGTGGCACTTCACCATCTTCCGCACCTTGACCTCTCGGGGAGCCCCGCGGGAACACAGGGGGGAGGCAGACTGGACTGGACTGTCGACTTGAAGTGCCGATACTGTTGTTGATGCTGATGTTGACGATAATGCTGATGATGATGATGATGCTGCTGATGATGATGATGATCATGATGATGACGGTGGTGGTGGTGATAGTGATGGTGATGATGATGGTGATGGTGATGGTGATGGTGATGATGATGATGATGATGATGATGATGATGATGATGATGATGATGATGATGATGATGCGGATGATGGCTATGATGATGATGACGATGATGCTGGTGATGATGATCATGATGATTGTGATGATGATGATGATGATGATGATGATGATGATGATGATGATGATGCTGGTGTTAATGATGACGATGATGATGATAGTGGTTTTGATTGTCATCGATGGTGATAACGGTGGTGATGATGATACAGCATGGCGATGATGATGCTGATGATGATGATGACGACGACGGCTTCAGGGAAGGCTCAGAAGACTTTTCGGAAGACTCCGAGCTTTCTGAGAAGGACCGCCCCTTCTAACTCCCCCCCGGGCTCGCCGCCGAAAAAAAACAAAAAGCATTCCCGACCCGCTTCGCACACCCCGCAAACCGCGGCCGCCAGGCCCCAGGGGTCCCAGTGGTCCAGGGGTATCGCGCCGCACGCGCCGCTCGGAGCAGAACACATGCGAAGAGCTCCAAGCGCCCCCGAACCTCAGTGGCCATCTGCGCCACCCTGCGAGGCCCCCCCCTTGCTGCGTGACCCCCGCCCCCCGATGCTTTCCGCGGGGGGGGGGTCCTCCTCCTCCTCCTCCTCCTCCTCCTCCTCCTCCTCCTCCTCCTCCTCCTCCTCCTCCTCCTCCTCCTCCTCCTCCTCCTCCTCAAGCGAACCCCGCCCTCCCCCTCCGGAATCGTGGGGGCAGGGGTAGGGCTCGCACGCGGCCCCCTACTGCGGTGCGCGGATGGAGGGGGGGCGCAGGGTGGCCAAATCCGAGCACGCAGGCAGCACCCATCGCAGCGTGCTCGGCCATCGGGGGGGGGGGGGGGGGGGCCCATGAGCCCGCACCAGGGATCACTCCGGCGAAGGGTCACTCTTACGTGTAGTCGAACCCCTCCGACGCCAAACTTTGCCATGCTGGGCCCCCGGGGCCCCTCGACCCCACAACGGGGCCAGCATCGCGGCGTGACCCGTTCTGAGAAGGGCTTCCACAGCTGCCCCCCAGGCGCCGAGAATTGCAAGAGAGCTCTGTCTCTACAGCCGACCATGTGACCAAGAAGCCCATACTTTAAGAAAGCTGGGTCGGCTTTCTGGAGGTTTCTGCAGTGCACCTGGGCCAAGTGTTCGTGTTAACGCTGGATAGGTGAAAGTGCTCAAGAAACTGGGCCAATTTTCTAGTAAGCTGGTTCAGAAACGCCAGATGCTCGGCCGTACTTCTTCCAGGCATTCGAGGTTGAGCATGGGCGAAACGGGTCCCGTGGGAAACGGGTCCTGGACCCTGGGGCCTTCCCCCAGAACGATCTTTTCATCATGAGTCGTGCCCTGACCGTCCCGGGGCCCATGGAGGGCCCCGAGAGCCCGACAACAGCAAAAACCTCAAGAACACTTTCCCTCAGGACCCGTTCCCCTCATGGCGAGAGGCATTGGCTTTAGGTCGGGCATGTCCTTCCACAGGCGGATTTGGGAAGAAGATCAAAGCTAGGCAACATAGGCTCAGAAATAGTCGACAAAGTCGACAAGAGCATCCCCAGACTACTGTTTGACTATTTTCGAACAGTCCTCCTGTAGAGGGGTATGCCCGAATCAATCCGAGCATTTTCTTCGGGTGGAGGGCAAAGGGTGACATCTGAAATGTCGCTTCGATTGATTTTCGAGGCTTGAATCTGCAAAAGGTGAATCACAAGACGGATTGATCTTCGAGGTGCAAGCCCTTCTGGATTTCATTCTGAGCCCTCCACCCGAAGAAAATGATCAGTCAATCTTGGCTCTGGGCCTCAAGAGTCTGCACCCGGACCTGCGGGCGCGCCTCGCCCAGAGCCTCGACGCGGGCCCCCCTGTGGCGGCAGGGAAGGGTCCGTCACTGGCGAGACGCAGCAACAAAACCTCGTCGCCGCCGTCGTCGTCCCCGCCGACGCCGCCGCCGCCGCCGCCGTCGCCGTCGCCGTCGTCGCACGCGCCCTTCCCTCCTCCCTTCTCCCCCGTCGGCTGCACGTAAGAGTGACCCTGGGCAAGAGTGACCTTTGGTGCGCGGCTTTTGGGGGGCCGCGGGGGGACCAAACCTGGGCGCGCAAGCCGCTGCTCCTGCTTCGTTTTCAGCCATCTGGGGGCCCATCTGTGCCCGCACCAAAGTTCACTCCAGCGAAATGTCACTCTTACGTGTAGCCGACCCCGCTCCGCCGCGCACGGGGGGCCCGTGCCTTGGGGTCCCACCTGGGCTGCTTCCGGCCCCCGCTGCACTCGCTCGGCACCTCGGCCGGAGGTCGCGGGGGAGGATGCCTTTCCCCCCTTCTCGGCTCGCCTTCCTCCTCCTCCTCCTCCTCCTCCTCCTCCTTCTCTCGGGGGGGGGGAAGGGGTAGGGATGACAAAGGGTAGGGTCGAGAAGCAGCTCACGCAGCTGGTTTGCCTGGCGGCTCCTGGCGCCGGGAGGCGCCCATGTATCGAGGAATGGGCTCGGCGGCGGGGCGGAAACCAGCTGCATGCAGCAGATTTCGTACCCCCGCTTTCCCTATCCTACCTTTTTGTCCAGCCCGATTCTCCCCCTCCCTCTCCTGGGAGGGACCAGGAGAAGAGAAAGGAGGTGGCAGAGGAGGAGGAGGAGGAGGAGGAGGAGGAGGAGGGAGGGAAGAGGAGCAGAAGGAGGAGAATTGCTTGGGAGGGGGAGGAGCTGCAGAGGGGGAGGAGCACAGCCGCGGAAGGAGGCGGACGGCGAAGGAGCCAACGCAGCCGACACGTCGGCCACCCGGGGCGGGCAGCGGAGGCGACGTCCGCTCACGAATCGTCGAGCGTGCCGTCGCCGTCGCCTGGCCCGGCGAGGCCCGTGCGCCCGCAGAACCAAGCGGAGGCACCAAGGATAGATCCCCGAAGGGGCCCTGGTGGCGCAGGCGCGCGGAGCACTTCGGCCCGCGGCGCGGGCTGTCTGTGACCCACGGCGCTCCGGCCCGCGAGCGCCGCCGGCGGGACTTAGGGGCACGACGTTACAGTCGAACCGCCGTCGTCGTCGTCGTCGTCGTCGCCGCCGTCGTCGTCGTCGTGGTCGTCGCCGTCGGCGCCGCCGTCGCCGTCATCGTCGTCATCGTCGTCGCCTCCGTCCTGATGCTTTTGAGCCGCTGGAAATCCGAGCACCTCTCCCCAATATCAACCCCAGGACCCGTCGTGTGACGCGCATAGACCTGGCAATGGCGACAGGGGCGCTCCCAGAAATCTCCCACAAAGGCCCAAAGTGTCGAACCTCTGCAGTCGGACCCAGGACAAAAGAACCTCCCTCGAGAGCACGAAACCCTCTGCCGGCCAAAGCGCGCAGAACCTCCAAGGGTACCCTCCCCAGGGTGCACAAGAACATCCAACAAACACGGAAAAAACATTACAGGGTCAGGCTTGATTAAGGAGCACTTACTTTTCAAAAGACGCTCGGTCGTTCTTTGGTTTGCATGATTTCCGCTACCTTTCGGGCGGCGAGCCCCCTTGGTGTTCTTTCGGGCTTCCTAGATCTACCAGAAAAAAGGGCTTCGTTATTTCTTGATCGTTCCTTAGGTCAGGCCGAATACTGCAGGGCACCCTCCCCGCACCGACCTCGGTCTTTATGCCTGAACCCGACGCTACGGCACGGGATGCTGGGCACCGCGCCTCTGCGGGCGCCCTCCGATGTGGAGGGGGGTGCGGCGAGCAGCTGCCCAGGCTCGCAGTTTCCCGCGCGGGCTGGGGGGGGGACTGGACCAGAAAACAAACGACGCCACCCCAACTACGGCCCCACGGGCCGTAGCGTATACCAGGGCATTTGGCGGGGGGGGTCGCATGGCATATGCTACGGCCCCGATGGGCCGTGGCGCAACATGGAGGGCCGCAGGTGGGGTGGTGTCGCTCGTTTGTTGGCCGAGGAAAGACGCCACCGTGCGGTGGGGTGCCAGGCAGGCAACGCCGCCGCGCATGTCGCACGCCTCCCCCCCTGGGATGCGCGGGTCGGCGGCGATCGAGGGGGCGAAGTGGGAAAGAGGAGGCCTTCTTAAAGGCTCGCAGGTCCACCGGCCTTCTGGAAAGCGTTGCGAACCTTCCCTGAGGACACAGCAAAAATTGCTCAGAAGGCGCAAGGGGGGTTCTGAGAAGACCTGCCGCCTTCTGAGAAGGCCTCCTCCTTCTCACTCCCCACCTCGCTCGCTAGCGAATTTAGTTTTGTTGGTCATAACTCGGGTCTCTGGCGGGCGTTCGGGACGATCTGGGCAACCCCGGAACGCCCGCGGCGAGGCGCAGCTGCTTGCAAGCATCCCGAAGCTGGAAAACCACCGAGGACCAACGAAAACGCCTGAAAACCTCGACCTTCGAACCCGAAGCCTCGCTCGCTCACCGCCGAAGCTTCGCTTCCCCCTCGCTCCCCGCCGAGCGGGGGCACTGCCGACTACGGGGCCGCAGCCCCGCGCGCAGCATGGAAACTCACCTGCACAGTTTCCCCTGGGGGCCGTTGGCGACCCGAGGAGGAGGAGGAGGAGGAGGAGGAGGAGGAGGAGGAGGAGGAGGAGGAGGACAACGACGACGACGACGAGGAGATGGAGGAGGGAGGAAGAGGAAATGGAGGAGAAGGGAGGAGGGAGGAGGAAAAGGAGGACGAGGAGGAGGTGGAGGAGATGGAGGAGGTGGAGGAGGAGGAGGGGGAGGAGGAGGGGTAGGAGGAGGTGGAGGAGGAGGAGGAGGAGGAGGAGGAGGAGGACGAGGAGGAGAGGAGGAGGGGAGGAGGTGGAGGAGGAGGAGGAGGAGGAGGAGGAGGAGGAGTCGCCTAAGCCCTTCGGAGCAACC